GCTTCACTGCCAAAACAAGGGCCCATCTTCACAAAAGCAGTGGAATGGGGCCCTTTAGCCAGTGCCACTCCATTCTGTTTAATTAGAAATTTACGTGAGAGTAGCTAAAGCAGTAGGTTATCTTGTTCTGCTGACTGCAGGTCTGTCACTGGAATTATGGAGAGGGAAAGGCTGCTCTGAGTGCCCCCCCTCCCTCCTGTTATCCCAGAGATATCCCATCCAGACTCATCCTTCAGGTAAGAGGGACCATGCAAACGAGGCATTCTGTTCTTCCCAAACCACTTACCCTCGCATATAAGAGCAGTGTTGCTGAATTAAATTTGTCATAGTCCAACGCTGTTTGTAAATAAATTTCCGGGTTATTAACTCCTCTTATGGCAAAATAACTGTCTGTGTTCTGGCAAGGGAAAAGGAAAAATCCTATAGCAGACTCAATTACAGACACATTCCAAATCCTTCTCATTGCTGTCTTTGTCATCCCAACTGGGCCTTTTATCCTGGGGACCTGGATGAGGGGCACTGTGGGAATGTCTGATCTACTTAATTTTTGGTACTGCACACTGGAGTTGCCTGGCTTGACAGAAAGGTTTGTTCTTTCCTCTCCCAGACCTCCTGCTTTGACTGCCCACCTGCTCAGCAGCTTCTGGATTAAAACCTCATTTATTTCCTATATTTAGCAAGTTGCCAACAATCCTTGATTTTGGGTCCCTAATAGCCAACAATCTCACTTCCATGCACAAAAAAGGTCAAAGGTGGCTCAGCCTTTGAGAGCTGGCAGGATCATCTGCCTTGGCCCAATACAGCTGGACTGAAAGAAACTGTAAAGCCAAGTTGAAATATCATGAGTTGCATTTTACTCTATAACCTTCTGCACTTGCTTTGGTTCTCCTCTAATCTTATGTCTCTGAATTCCTAAATCCCTCTGGATTTACACCAATGTGAATGTAAAGTCTGATCCCAGAGCTGAAAAACTGGTGGTTTCTGTTCACAGAAACTTAAATTCCCTGGGGATATAGAGGTAACAGGCACTGTCTGCTCTCTCCACAACCCTTTTCAAAAAATGCAAACATACATTTGGTTTTGCTCATGAATTTCCTTTTGATTTTAGTTTACAGCCAGCCCTTGCACTCCAGGCTGGCATTGGTTTAACTGGGTGCACAACCCATCTCCTGTGCTGCTGTTGGCAGTTAGGGCAAGGACTGCTTTCCTCATCAGACTCAGTGCAATTCTGAGCTCCCTGAGGTACAAAGGTCTCCTGATATGTTTACAGATCATGCCACCAAGAGTTCCCTGAGTCATTACAGCTCTGAATACTCTAGATGAAAGTTTAATCTGTACAGTGCATTAAAAGTGTGAGCCATAAGAGAATTCAATACCTGCAGGACTGATGGCTCTGTTCTGCTAACCAAATCAATGTTTGGGTTTTGTAAAAGTTGAGTGAGCTAAATGCAGTGTAACTTCTCCTCAAAGTTGGGGCTCTACTGAATCCAGCTTCTCCAGTGCTACTGTTTGTTGCTCACCTGCTCTGTGGTAGTGAGTTCATAGTAGATGGTGTCCAGGTCAGCATCAGAAGCTGTTACTTCTTCACGGGCTACAATGACTGTGTCCACTTCTGTATCCTGAAAAAACACATTGTTGTAGTCATTGTCTGTGTGAAATGGATTGAAGTCCTGTCCCTGCTGACCCTTCCTCAGTCCCACAGCACTCAGTGAGCAGTGTCTTTTTCCCTTCCCAAACTCCCTTACCTCTGGGACGTCCCTGGTGATGTTTGGTTGTCGAAACACAGGGGGATTATCGTTCTCGTTCAGAATGGTGATGAGGATTTGCAAGGAATCGCTCTGCAGAATGGGAAAATCAAAGAATCAAAGACAAATATAGACTGTTGGGGCTGATCCTGCTTTGCAGAGTGACCAGAGGGGATGGTGTAAGGATGGGGACCAGATGGGGCTGGGCTTTGCAGCCAGCCCATGTCCTGGGGCAGGACTGTGGGCTTGTTGCCACTCCTCCCCCCGGCAGAGCCTTGGCACTCTCTGTGGCTATGAGAGCAGCGTGTCTGTCCACAAAGAGAAGGACATCTGCCCATCCCAGTGTGAGAATTAGGAAGAGCAGAGGGAAGCAGGTGCTGCCTGCAGTGCCTTGTCCCAGGACTCAGCTGCTGGAGAGCACTCACCTGGCCAGCAGAGTCCTTGCAGGTCAGGTACACCAGCAGCACAGGGTCTTCCTGCATGAGAAACAAACCCCATCACTGTAGAAACAGCCCAAGAGTACGTCTGGCTAAAGCAAATGAGCCAAATTCCTGTTTTGCTGAATCAGAAACGCTGCTGGGCTTTATCTTATTTTCAGGTGTATCTAACTTTTCCTTTCTTCCCTTGATGCTGGGATCTTGTTTATGGTGATATCAAAGCAGCCCCATCTTCCAGGCGCTCTCCCTGCAATTCCTGTAAGATGTTGGCGGAGCTAATCTGCCATTCTTTCTCACCTCAGGTGAATTCTTTTCAAATAGATTTCTTTTAAAATTGAATAAATCAATTCTATGCAGCAAGTACAGTGGCACCTGCAGGGTGTTAATTCAGTTGTTGCTTTTTGCTCAAATAAAAGTGGGGTTTTATACTGAAAGGGAACTTAAGGATGCCTGTGGCTGTATACAGAGCACTTCAGGGAGCTAAAATAATGTAGCAGCCACCTAAGTGAACACAATGACCTTTTATACTGCCTTTCTGCTTTACACAAGATGACAGAATCCCAGAATGATTTGGGTTGGAAAGGACCTTAAAGCTCACCTCATTCCAACTCCCTGCCACAGGCAGGGACACCTTTCACTATCCCAGGCTGCTCCAAGCCCCATCCAACCTGGCCTTGGACACTTCCAGGGATAGAGCAGCCACAGCTTCTCACAGTTAATAACAGGGAAACCTGTGCCAGGTCGTCAGCACCCTCACAGGGAAGAATTTCTTCCCAGTATCCCACCCAACCCTGCCTTCTGGCAGTATGGACTCACTTCCCCTTATCCTGTCATTCTAGGCCCTTATAAATGTCTATCTTTTTTGTAGGCTACCAAACTCCCACAACTGAAATAACTTCTTTCCTCTAGAAACAGGTAAAGAATCCCTGGAAGACCAAGACTCCAGACTGAAATTCATTGCATCCCAGCATTATCCATCCATCCTTACAGCCTACCAGCTAAAGGCTTACCTCATAGTCCACACACTTTGTCAGCCGCAGCTCGGAGCCCTCAATGGTGAAGAATTGGCCATCAGGGAAATTGGGATCAATTGTTAGGGTGAAACCTGGCTGCACACGGATGGTAGCCACCACATAAGGACATTGATTTTCAGGAACGCTTGGGTTGTTGTTACTGACAGAACATCCTGGAAAAACAGAAAAATAAGATGCAAAATTGTCCAAGGATTCACATTGTGAAGGAGCTGGGTGAGAGCTGTGGTCACGAGCTGTGGAGCAAAGGGGTCTTGGAGCATAGCAACCTCCCACCTGTAACCCCCTCCCGTGGGAGACATTCCTCAAAGACATGGACCTCGTGAAAGAGCTTACCTAGTTCCTGTGCTGAAATCTGTGCCAAGAGGGGCAGCAGGAAAAGTGCAGACATGAGAAGCCAGTGAGGAATAGCCATGGTGAGCTGCCAGTTGCCGAAAAATCCCTTTAAAATCCCTTTTTCCAGCTAAGCTGATCTCCCTGTTCTGCCCTGTGCCCTTGTTTGCGTTCACCAATTTATGGCATCAAGAAACACCAGCTGGCTGTGGATTGCCGTGGTTCAACCTTTGCCTCTTTGCCCCATTGGATGACTTATTGAAGGATTTACCAGTCATGAAACACGATGACACATAAATCCTTGCTGCTTCTTTTTTCTCTAGATCTTTCCTATCCTAAACTCTCTGTGGCAACAAGAATATATTTGAAGCAGTTCAGAACTCAGAGCCAAGCCTTTGCCCAGCTGAGCATGAAGCACAAGGGCTGGAACATGGGATATTCCCTTTTACTCCAGTCTCTCCCACTGGAAAGGGGGAAAATTTGGTTTCTCATGTGCCAGAGATGGGGTCTGTATCCCACAAGGTGAGCAAGTGGATCCCAGCAGTGACAAGGCTCACCTGCAGTCCAGGGAATGCCCAGCAACTTTGTAGGGAAAACATATCTCCTTTTACTGGTGGCTGCTCCTTTAGAGATGCTTCCCAGAATCTCCTTCCAGGAGATTCCACTCTAGGAGATCTTCAACTATTTGAATCTCAGCAGCTTCCTGAAGTTTTCAGGGGACCTCTGCTCTCACTGATCTTTTAAAATTCATTCTGATTTCAGGAAGTTCTCAGATGCTGCACCTCAGCCAGGAGGTTATTAGCGGCTTAATGAAATTTGGGCTGTCAACATTCTTCCAAAAGTATTCCAAAAGGAATCTTTCCTAGCAGAGACTTCCTGTGGACCAAAATGAGCAACTGCCAATGTTTGTTCAGCTCCTCAGTAAGGAAATAGTGCTTAGGTGTGCATTTGAGTGGGAACAGCTCCTTTTGCAGGTGTCAGGTTCATTGTGGATGGTGAAAACTGCTGGAGCAGGATGGGCTGGGCTGGGCTGCACAGTACAGGATTGCAGCTGAAGAGCCTTATTTTAGAGCTGCTCTCCAAAATCCATTGGTTTTACAGGAAAGCTGGTGTGGCTGTTCCATCAAAGGGGGGCAATCTGCCTGTGTGGCACAGGGATAGTACATAAACCTCATTAAGTTGTGGGAACAAATTATTCCTTGTGGAATTTTGTCTTTAGTGGCTGTGACAAAACTGGGCCACCAACTCCAGCGGCAAAATGGAGAGGAAATAACTTTTACAGTGAGTATCTCTGTTGTGTAGCTCTCAGAACATTTCTTTGCCATAAGACCTAACATCTGGCTTTGTTCCTGCTGCATGAAGCCCTGATTCTGACCTCTGTGCACAGCTGCACTGTAGGCACTCCCCAGTCCCAGCCATGTGTCCCACCATGCCTCATCCTGGCAAAACGCTCCTCCCCTGCATTCCTAATAATCCAAGACCTTGTAATGGAACCATCCTTATTCCAGTTTCCCAAAGAGCAGCCAAGGCACATGCACAGCTAACCGTTTTTATTTGGGATCAGCAACAGGCAGCCAGATGCCAACACAGAGTGGAAGGGATGTACTTCACCCAGGCTCCATCTACTGACAGCAGTACACACCCACATACATTTCACTTTGGATAATCTCAGAGGTTTCATTGGTTTTTGACTGCTTTCCAGGATTATTTTTATTTATTTGCCTATCTCAAGAATTTTTCCTAAGCAAGAGCTTCCCTGTTTATCTTCAAGGCCATACATGTGCAAAGCTCTCTCCTTGGCTGTTTCTTCCCCATCACCTTCATTCAGAATCATCTGTATCTTCCTTCATGTCTGCAACCAGCTGCTTAGAGAAGGGGCAAATGTACTGGCTGGTAATGGCAGCAGCCTCCCTGGCATCTCTGTCCGAGCGGCTGTGGGAAGGGAAAAATCAGGAACAGTGTTATTTCTGCGAGCAAGAACTGCAGGAAGTGTGACAAGGCCACCTTGTGACATTCCAGAATGACTCCAAAGAGCAGGTCATGATCCCCACAGAGGGATCATGGCTGCCTGCTGCCAGGCACTCTACAAATGCACAGTGGTGTTTCTCTCCCATTGTGGCACAAGGCATACTAAAGGCCAGCCTTATTCCTCCTAATTACAGTGATTTAAGAGTGAGATGTCTAAGAGAAAGTTGTTGGGCATTAAGAAAAGACAATGTCCAGGTTCTGGGACAACCATCCTGAGGTGTGTGTTTCAATCAGCAGCTGAATCCAGACAGGGCATCAAAGGCTTTCTTTCAATTTTAACCATTAGATCACATTTCCTAATGAGACAAATAATTGCTTCAATCCAGAACAACAACCCCTAGGAAATGATTAAGAAAAGACATTATTTTGCTTCCCTGGGTTTTACTGTTTTTAAGAACTGACTTTTCTATGGTTGTTCATAAAAGCCTTCTTTTTGTTTCAGTATTGTGGGGCTCAGAGTCACAGAGGTGCCCAATCTCTCCCACCTACCTGGTGTTCAGAAAGCTCTGGTACAACCAGAGAAAGCAAAGTTCCTCAGGTTTGTTTACTCCCTCTCTCCCCTGCATGTCTGTGTTGACTGGGCCAGGAGAGCTGGTTTAGATAAAGATAATTAATAATAATTAAAAACTCCAAACCACCACCACTGCAGAGCAGCACTTGCAGCTTGTGCTGTATCTGCTGCTGTGCTCACAGACATGGCCTCAGTGGGGGCTGCTGGCCCAGGGTGGCAGTGAGAGCCCCGGGTGGGGACACCAGAGGGTCCCTCTCACCTGCGCTTGCGGCCCATGAGGTTTTGGATGAATTTCTGAACCTGGGCGTTGCCTCTCATCTTGCTGTACTCACTGGTGAACAGCCCATCCGAGTGCCTCAGGGACCTGTATGGGGACAGCATGGGACAGCAGCTGCACCTCCCAGCCCCGTGGGACTCCCCATGAGGCACAGCAATGCCTCTCCTCCCACCACTAAGGGCCCTGTACCCCTGCCCTTCCCCTCCTCATCTTGGGCAGTCAGTGCTGGGGCTGGCTCTGCAGCTGGACAGCTCAGCTCCATGGGCAGCCCCTCAGGGCAGGGATCCCACATCCTGCTGGCCACTTCCCTGCTCCAGGAGGGCGGGTGTGGCTGGTGCTCACCTGTCCTTGAGGCCCACCAGGTGCTTGACCAGCTGCTGCACGTAGGCGTTGCCGTTCATCTTGCTGAGCTCGCTGTGGAAGAGCCCGTCTGCGTGGCGCTCCATCCTGCACGGTGGAACAGGGAGGGGGAGTCAAAAGGAGTGGTTTAAAAACACACAAGAACAGCCATTAAACTCTGCTGCCTCAAGGCAAGAGAGTCCCAAACACACATGGGCAAGAACTTGTGCCACTTTGGCAAAGTTTCACAAAAAAAGGGGGAAAAGAGGTTGTTTTAAAAATACCTTTATTAAACATCACATAGGAAAACTACCTGCTCTTTCTTTTACTGATGTAAACACCTTGCTACAAGGATGTGGGGTTATTGGTGATTCAGCACAAAAGAGTAGGACAAGAGACTGAAGAAGTAATAAACAAATATCCAGAGACACGAAGTTGAAGAGCACTTAGAAAAGAGTAGCAAAGACCAGCCCTTGCAGACTCCCTTGGTGAACTTTCAGGGCTGGCTATTTCTGGTTATGTTTGCATGGGACCAGGCTGTTGGAAACAGAAACTCTCATCTTTATCAGCCTGCATAAGTGCACAGGAGAAAAACAGACTCAAGTGTCCTTGTAACTGTGTTTTGTTTTGGGGTCACAAATTTTTCTCTGAATTAAATAAAATTAACTTTCCCATCCTTAAGCAAGAAAAAACATTTACAGTATTTGCAGTCATTTAACTAAATCTGTTTAGGGAAGAAGAAGTTCCATAAGCAAGCAGATGCAAGTTCAGGGAGGCAGCTAAAAGGCTGGGTTTTCAGCTAGCAGGCTCTTTGAACAAAAACCATGGAGAAAAAGAAAGCAGAATCCCAAGAAATGCTTACCTCTCCCAGGATGGCAGAGATGCTGAGAAGTGGGACAGGACAATCATGGGAATAATTACTTGCCACAGAGTTGTCATCATGGAAACCATGTTCTCTCCTGAAATAAAGCATGAAGTTTTGTGAGCAGAAAGACAAGTGGCCTGGGTGTGTGTTTGGTGCAGTTCACATGCACCACAAAGACAGGGATGTGGAAACACCACCACTGTAACTAAATAAAGCAGGAATTCCTGCCAGCAGAGATAAATATCTGGAGACATCTGCAAGGGGCTTTCAGACAAAAAAAAATTACATATGATGAACAAAATTCATTCACATATAGAGGAAGGGCTCATGTGTGGGCCCATATCCATCTAACTTCTAACCTTTCAAGAAGGAAAAATGAAATAACACAGATTCTCAGTCACAGCAGACTCCTCCTATTTTGTTTTCTTGCTGAAATAAAAAGAAAAGTACATTTTGTTTATCACAAGCCATGGCATGTTTCCCCCCTTTATTCCCAGGTGCTCACCCTTCCTCAAGGATCACGCAGCAGCTCTACCTGTAATTTATAATACACTCCTTTATTTTTTACCTTCTTCCTGCAAAGAAACAAACCTTCATCACTGTCCTGCAATCTCTCAAGATGGCACTTGCTAACCCCAAATCAAATCCTCCCAGTTGTTTTTTCACTTTATTCTGAAGCTAAACAGTACAAAGAACATGAAAGAAGAATGTCAGAGAATTCTGAACACTTTCTAGTCCCCACTTCTGGGACTGTTTGCTGCTCTGGAGGTGCTGCAAGATGAGAAGAGGCACAAGGAGAAAGGACAAGAGTAAGGGATTAATACAGAAATTTATTCACTGTAAACCACAGGGCAAATATTTAATGGGGGCTGCAGAGCAAACAGATGAGAGGATGAAAGAACCACAAGCTTAATCTGACACACACTTTGAGCTTCAGTGTTGTGTTTTCCTGCCTGATCCAGCTTTGAGGGGATGGAATAGTAAAGCAAGAAGGACATTTCAAAGATCAGCATCTTACTGGAGTCCAAACAAGGCAGATTCTGCAGTCCTGGGATGCAGGAGGAGCTGAAAACAGCCACCAAATCCTTGGGCAAGGGGCACCTGAATTCTGAGCCTGTCCTTCTATCTGCCCAACAGCTGTCACACAATCCCTTGACCCCAGGATCTCACCTCAGCATCTGGCCTCCCATGGGCTGGCATTTCTCTGGGAGCACCATATTAAAGAGACTATTTTAAACCTCATCCCTGGCTCCAGAGTTTCCCCTCTCTTCATAACCTTTCTACCTGCTAATCTGGTGATCAACTTCTCTTTTCTCTTTCTGGATATAATTTTGAGTCCCCTGGGTAGACCATATTTGCTTGCTGAAGTTCCCAGGAGCAGTGATGGCTGTTGGGGAACTTCTCCTTCCTATCAATAATGATTTTTAAAAATTACCCACACCCCAGGAAGCAGGCAGATCTCCAGTGTCATCACTGAAGGGCTGTTTAACCTTAGCAGGACACTTCCAAGCTTTTAATTTTCTCCCTATTGATCCTGGTTTTAAATGACTGCAAACTCTTTGGCTAGCTGGGACCTTCAGCTGAAAGAACTACACCCCAAGCCAGCCTGGGAGCCCTGAGGAGGGAAACCCCCCATATTCCAGCACTGCTGCTCAGGGCATGGATGGCCTCATAGCAATGGCTCAGTGAGGCACCACAGAGGTCTGAAACCCACCCCAAAGTGAGAGAGAGGGGAAGGCAGCCCGTGCAGCCCACCCACCCCAGCAGGACTCACCGACTCGGGCTGCTCTGGGCTCACAGCTGATGCTTGCTCCACTGCCTGCTCCTCTTGGGGACCCCTATAAATCTGCAGCCTTATCAGGAGCAATTATTTGAGTAAAGATATGGATATGAGCAATCATGATTAACAGCAAATAATGCAGTGGGGTTGGAATGTCCCTTTAATTACCTGATGGGGTCATTCACAGCAATCTGATGGAATATTTTTGCTGATGGATAATAATTCCTGCTTCTGCCTATAATGACATTTGTTGGGCAAACATCCTTGTACCAATTGATTCGCTATGATTGTCATAATTATTTCCTGGCTTTAATTACCTCTTGATAGGAGATTAATCTTCTGTTCTTATAATTTCATCCTGGCTTGGGCTATGTTTGCAATTGCCAGGATCTGTCAGGGAGTCCCTGTGTGCACCAGTGATTTGGCTGAACAATGTGTCACTTTTTAAGGCAACCATTGCCTGATCAGTAGGATCAGGGCTCACTTTTCCATGAGGGGACAACACCTTTTAAACTGTGGTTTCAACTGGGAAAGGTCTGCCAAGCACAAACTCTGTCACAGCATCTAAAAAGCCAGCATACTTATACATGCATGGAAAACATTTTGAATATATTCCCTGCCATTGCTGGGGTTTGGCTGGTCTCAAATACTGCAGCTAAAGGTGACTCAGAAAGGAGGAAGAAAATAGGATTATCCTTTCCCTCCTTCTTTGTATAGTATAAAGTAGCTTGGAAGGAATAAGGAATAATAATAATAAAAAATAATAATCTTCCAACTGGAGAAATGGGAGCTGTATTACACTTCTTATCTTCTTATCTTTTTCCTTGGAAAAGCAAAGGGTGTCCCCATGACTAAAGAACTGGGAGGGAAAAGATTTTCCCCATCATCTTTCCCTTGGAAGAGTGCCACAAGGCCTGATGAGTAGAACCTCAGTCCTCCAGCTTGTGAGTGCAGGCTGCAACCAGAGCCCTGCACCAGGGACAGGGGAAAACAGCAGGGACATTCCAGGTCCCATTCCAGGGCTGGAGCATCGAGACATGCCATGGTCAGCACTAGGACAGGGGAGCCCATTTCCTGCTCTGGTCCAGGCATTTCCCAACCACTTTCCTCTCCTCTGTGTACCTGCTTTCTCCAGCTGCAGCTTCTGCCTCTGCTTCTGCCTGCAGTGGTGGTGGCAGCTTCAGGTTTACAAAAGAGGCTGAGCGACCTGTAGGGATGCAAAAATTAATAATGTGATTTTCCTTCCTTTGCAAACAACCTCAGTGGGTCTGAAATGCCTCCAAGCTTTGAGGAAACTCAGTTTGCCACGAGAGGACAGAGAAGAGGTTGGAATGACAAAGCGGCCCCACGATGGCAGCAGAGGGTGTATAACGGGACACTAAAAGGTTCTGGGGATTGGAAGGACATGAAATAAGTAACCTGATTAAATATTTTGCAACAAAAAATGGGGTTTGCCTCCAGCAGCAGGAGAAGAGTGAAAAGGTGATGGGGTAGAAAATGGTGTGACTATGCCCAGCACTGCTGCACCTTAATGCAGGTGACAAATGTGGGCTCGAGCTCCAGTGCAGCTCTGAAAGCCCCTGGTGAGGAAATTCAGGGCCATGAAGAGAACTCAAAAGCATTTTCAAGCTGAAATTTATAACTGAATAAACTGGAGCCCAAACAAATTTCTCAGTCCTGAAACAACATCTGATTCTCCTTAACCAGAATTTACATTAAACTCTCATCAGGAGACATTATGAAAATAGGAGTAATAAAGAATCCTGCTCAACAATATCAGTTGAAAGGAGCTTTGTGAATTTGCACCTTGCTTCTTCTCCCATTCTCCATTTGTGTGAACACTCCAAGTCCCAGCAGGGGAGTGGAGATTCCCCTTGCCTGCATCCAGCAGGCACAAAGCAGGATTAAATCACCCATTTAGATGAAATCTATAACCCATTATCTGTGTGCAGCATCACTGCAGAGAAAAGCTTTCAGCTATTTTCTGGCTCTAAGAATGACAGAGGAAATGACTGGCCTCACCTGATCCCTGCTGCTGTACCACTGCCATGCCTGCAGGTGTGGAAAGTCAGGGCTGGAGTGATCCCAGCTCCTGGCTGCCCTGACTGACCTGTCCATGGCACATAACCATTTTACAGGATTTTAACAAAGTGCCACAAACAGCTGACACTGAGCAGTGCTGAGGCTGTGCACACACACTCCTTGAAGACAGCAGGGAGAAATGCCCCAGGACAAGATGGAGAAAGGATCTGTGAGCTTTGGGACCATCCCTGAGCTGCCCTGGGGATGCTGCCAGGTATAAAGCCATCAGGATCTTTGTGCAGTCACTTGTGCTTAGGCTTGACACCAACTGACGTGCCCAGCATGGAGAGACCTGTGATGGGGAGCATTAAGTAAATCCAGTTGCCATGGGTGCCAGGGCTATTCCCAGTTGCCACGCTGATGCCTGGGGACACCCTCGTGCCAACAGAGAGCAAAGATTATGAAACACAAGGACCATCCCCCTTCAGCACCCAGACTCTGGTTACTGCCCTGTCTCAAAGGCATCAGAGCTGAGAATGGAACTGAGGAAGGTCTTTTTTCTCCTCTTTACACTGGGAGGGATCACCAAATCTGCAGTGTGAAAGGCAGCATCTTAGAGCCACATTAAATGCTTTAGCCCCAGATTTGGCAATATTTGAGAGAATATGTGAACCTAGCCTTTTTTGATGTTGGAGGTAAAGACAAGAAATTGCATTTCAGAAATGAGAGGATTTCATCACAGAGCTACCTATTCTGGCCCACAGCACAGGGAGGTTGCAGGCAGACTCTCCAAAATCA